AGAATATGTGGGCGTGGTTAGGCGATCACGACCTGGATGGTTGGTCCCAGATTAGCGTATATAACGGTAGAGGTGTTCACATCAAGAGCAAAGAGGGCCCGGTGTGGGGCTACGGGACGGCCAGCGAGCATAACGTACTCTATCAGTACAATATAGCCAACGCCAAGAATGTGATGTTGGGATTGAATATGGTATCGGTTGAGAATTCGACTAAAAATATCAATTTGTTTAACATTAATACTAAAGCGTCGGATAATATGGTGTCCGTCGACGGCCAGAGTCGGGTCCGTTAGGCAGACAATAGGCGAGACTTTTGCTCAACAATTGCCGGATTTTCTGATTACTAGCTATTAATTGAGTCAATTTATTTAATTATTATTAATTATTATTATTATTTAACATAAATTAATAACGAAAAATAAAATAAAAGATGTATGTTTAATTAAATATAAATTTAATAGTTACTGTAATTATAAAGTATAAACTGTATATATAAAGTAACTCGTTTTATTTATTTATCAAAAATTTAGACATTATTAACAATTGGGACAAACTACAACGCTCAATATTTTTTACTTAAATTTTTTAATTTAAATGAAATTGTATTCAATTATAATGAAAATCTATTTATAACATATGGGTCCATATATAACGGTAGGATTACCCAAATTCTTAAGTATAAATCATAACATCTTTTTGATTATCTATAACATATTTAATAAATTTTTAAGATAAATTAAATATAAAATTTGCTATTTTAAAATTTACCTAAATTTAAAAAAAATCGAGTCGTGTCATGTTCAAATTTTGAATTCAAATTCATGTGAAAGTATCACATTTGAAACATTTATCATTTGTTACAGTTTAAACATATTAAACTTTTATTATTTTTAATGACATACAATTTATTCAAGATGTTTATCATCTAGTTTATAATTAATACGAGAGCGTTAAATAATATTTGCTCAACAATCGTCGGATTTTTGGTTCAATAGCTTTAAGCTATTCATTTAATCAATTGATCACGATTATTATTAATTTATATTATCATTTTAAATAAATAAAGTAACAGAAAATATAATATAAATGTTATGTTTATTTAAATATAGCGTATGTTTATTTTAATTGTAATTTTAGTATAAACTGTATATATAAATTAACTTGTTTTGTTTGTTTATCAAAAATTTAAAAATTATTAAAAATTGGCCGAAATGTCATGATTACATTATAGATTTTATCAAAAACAATGAGTGACATATTTCCAAATTTTAATCTAAGTTTATGTAAAAGTTTCACAATTGAAACTTTTTATATTTTGTTACAGTTTAGATATATTAAACTTTTATTATTTTTAATAACATACAATTTGCGCATATTGCAATCTTTAATTAAAAGGATATCAATTTAAGATGTTTAACATTATTACGAGAGCTTTGGATAATATGGTGTCCGTCGACGGCCAGAGTCGGGTCCGTCAGGCGGACAATAGGCGAGACTTTTGCTCAACAATTGCAAGATTTTGGATCAATAACTTTAATCTATAAATTGAATTAATTGATTACGATCATTATTAATTTTTATTATTATGTAAAACAAATGAAATAGAAGAAAACAAAATAGCTAACTTATTTAAACATAAATTTAATTGTAATTGCAATTTTAATGTAAATTGTATATCAATTACCTTGTTTTGTTTATTCATCAAAAATTTAAACATTATTCACAATTAAAGTAAAGACCAGCGGATCAACTGAAGTGACTTTCCCTGTACTCAATCCGGACAGTGATATTCAGTGAAATTTTGTACTCACAATTATCTTTAAATAAGTTTATATTAATTAAACACTTATAAGAGTAATTGAAAAGTTTAATTTGATTAGCAATATAAATGTTTAAACAACTGTAAACTTGTCGTGCGAGCTTTTCCCCCAGAACTTAAGTCATTCATTTGGTTTTACCTTTTAAGTCATTTCTAAAGCTTCGATTTTTCGGGAATAAAAACATGTAAATTCGTGAGTATACATGGCAAAATCGGAAAAATTCGGGAATTACGTTTTTATTGGATTTTCACATAATAATTATGTACTTAAGTGATTTTCAAAAGGTTTATGTGCACTAATGAAGCAAAATAATGACATTTATTGAGGCAAAAATAATGAATCAAATAAATATGCCATTTGTATCTCATGTCTTATATTGTATTCACATGTATTTACTATAATATACTATAAATGTATCACAAATTATGTGAACTTTTAGCAAGTTTTGGTATTCTGTCAGCAAATTCATTAAGATTTTAATAGAAAATCCATATTTTTAAAGATTTTTTCTTAAAAATAGTAAATTTTTGAGGCATTTGTAATAAAATAGACGCTTTTCGGGAGTTTTCCTAACAATATACCAAAATCGGGAATTTTTTCAAAAAATGCCAAAATCGGGAAAAATCGGGAAAATAAAACTTATATATTTTAGGCCTATTATGACCCCTAAAGCTAATGGTATGCAATTCCTGATGATTTTGTTAACTATTTTTTTCGGGAATTCCCGAAATTTCGAAGCCTTAGTTATAACTTATAAGTGGACCAGAAATTGCTAAAACTTGTTGACAGATAAGTCCAGTGTATAAACAGCTGGAGAAAAGGGCTAATCGTTTGGTAGAATAAGTTCATTGCCATTAAGTTTCCTCTTTAACAGCCATTAAATATTCACAATTATTTAGTGATTCGGAGTCAACACCGAAACCCATTTGCCGACAACTTCTGGTGCCGTACATAATGCTGGCCATCAGTGCTGTGTTTCTGGTTTTTACGGTAATTATCTTCACAGCCGCCGATTTCGCCAATAAAGTCGACCCAAACATATGCCTAACGCCTGATTGCATCAAAGAAGGTATTAATTGTGTCGACCATTATATCCATATTAGATATTGTTTTAATCAGAAATAAAAAGTTTTAAATTTGTTTAAAAGTTGCAAAATATTGACGTGAAATGTCTTTTTTCTACTGAAAAGCTGCCCGTATTTTGCGTACAATAGACGAGAGTGTCTCGCCTTGTGATGACTTTTATCAATTTTCATGTGGAAAATGGATTGAATCCACTCTTATTCCGGAACACAAGTCATCCCAATCCACGTTTGATGAACTCCAGGATGAGCTCAATAGGAAGCTTAGAGGTTGTTATAATAGTGTAGTCATAATATTCAATATAACAAATATTTGTGTGTTTTTGAGTGGATTTGAAACATATTTCTTGTATTTATTATAACAGTACTCATCGAAGAAAGTTCTCAAAACTCGGAGAAGAGATCTTTTGTCAATAAATTGAAGGATCTGTACATCAGTTGTATGAATACATGTAAGTGTTTATTCTATCAATCATTTATTCAGTTATTTTTAGATATGTTTTTTATATTTTGTTCTCAATGTTATATTTTAATCGATACATTTAAATATATTTCAAGATTTATTAACAAAAGATTTTTTAATATTTATTATGTAAAGTGCTGTTTTCTAACGTAAAAGTATTGATCAATTTCTAGGAATTTTTACAATTGATTTATAACATAAAGATTTATGTAATTCATGCAAAAGATTGATCATGTTAAAAATATATTAATTCAAAATTTATACATTCTGACAATCCATAGCATATATTGAGGCAAAAGGAGATCAACCATTACTAGATCTGTTGGACCGGTTCGGGGGTTGGCCTGTATTAAAGTCTTCGCACTGGAATGAATCCCAATTTAATTGGTTTGAATCGTATATCAAATTAAGACAAATAGGAGTTGTGGACAATATGTTGATCACAATCTTTGTGGACATCGACGACAAAAACAATTCCCGGCGTGTGTTATATGTATGAAATTCAATCAGTTTTGTCCACAAGTATTAAAATTAACTACAAATGCATACTAACAGTTAGATCAGCCATCGTTGGGTCTCTTCGACAGAGATCTGCTGTTGAAAGGGATGAACGACACATCGGTTTCGGCATATTTTGATCTTATGGTGAAAAGTGCTGTACTATTGGGCGCCCAGAAAGACACGGCTCACAGACAGATGACAGAAGTTTTGGAGTTTGAAACACTTTTGGCAAATGTATTGCAAATAATCATTTCATTAAATTATTTATTTTCTGTTTAATAAAATTAGTATTAAATACAGTACTCGTTGGCGAAGGAAGAGAGACGTAATATGAGTTTACTATACAATAAGATGACAACCGAAGAGTTGGATCAAATCGCTCCCAATGTTTGTATTACTTTTTTTAATAAAATTAGTATTAAATACAGTACTCGTTGGCGAAGGAAGAGAGACGTAATATGAGTTTACTATACAATAAGATGACAACCGAAGAGTTGGATCAAATCGCTCCCAATGTTTGTATTACTTTCTATTTGATTTAAATCTAGAAACTATTTTAGGTTTCCCTTTACTAATTGACAGTCAATTCTGCTTTGAATAACAATTAATTAAATGCTTATTTTATTCAACAGACAGATTGGATGTCATTAATCAATAACTTCACGACTAAACCAATTGCCAAACACGAAGAGGTTGTAGTAATTGACACAAAATTCATTAAATCTCTTGATTTAATTTTGCCGCAAACAAAGAAACGGTTAGTATTTTTGGATAAGAAATGAATATTATTTATATATAATAATTGTTGTCTATATATTTGGTCAGAACTTTAGCCAATTATATGATGTGGAGAATCGTGTTCTCAAAGATCAGCGCATTGGGAGCCAAATGGAGAAATCTGGAGACGGAATACGAGGCAAAAGTGATGGGCAAACAACGCCAGGAGCCCCGTTGGGAACAGTGTGTCTCTATTGTACAATCCGTGGTCGGTATCGGTCTCTCAAACCTCTATATCAACCGATACTTTAACAACGATAACAAACAAATGGTCTAATAATAATAATCTAATTTCAATACATTGTTAATAATTAATTATCAATTATTGTTTTCTATTAATATATTTATAAAACAAGACTTTGGATATCGTGAAGAATATTAAGACAGAATTTGAGGGTATTTTGCATGAAATTGATTGGATGGAGAAAAACACTTTAACACATGCTTTGGATAAATTACAAAACATGGAACTGAAGGTCGGATTCCCATCGGAATTGATGGACGAAAAGAAGATTAACAATTACTACATCGATGTATTAAATTGATTTCATTTATAATTTTTATATCTAAAAGTTATTATGATTATAGCTTCACATTAATCGTGACGACTATTTTCAAAATCGTATTAAAGCGTACAAATGGTTATCGGATTATCAGTTCAGTCAACTCCGAGAGATTAATAACAAAAATGAGTGAGAGATTAAAGCAATTAATTTAATTGTGATGTTTCTCTAACGCAACCATTTAATTATCATTTGAAAAGTTGGCGCAAATACGCCGAAGTGACTGAAGTGAACGCCTATTACTTCCCACAGGAGAACGCAATGGTTATTCCCGCCGGTATTCTTCAGGGCATCTTCTATAACAAGAATAGACCCAAGTATTGAT